TATATGAGGGAGGGATGTATACGACTGATATGATGATATATATAATCTCCGCGTAATTGGTAAAGGATCATTATGTAAATGTCCATGCAAAAAAATTGTTCATATATTTCTAATTTATGTTCCATTCGTATCAAATAAGTAGCCAATTTACATGCTGGAGTCAACACACTGTTTGCGTATACACAGATTTTGTATATATTTTCCTTATATTGTGAATTCTGGTCTATATTAACCGCTTTAGATACTTGTAATATTGTCTACATCAGATATTGGAGCATGTTATTTATATTTCGCCCTCCAAAAACGACATCAAGTATACACAAACATCTATAAACTATAAGATGTTGACGTTGAATATACCTATTTGAATTTAGAATGCGTTATTATGTGTTTACTAGTATATTTTGCTTCGCAGCAAGCACTTACAGTGCTGTTTCTGCCTAGAAGGTAGGTTCTACTTCAGGTGGGCCGTCAGCAGTTTTATAATCTGGTAAATTAATCCGATTGATACGGTCTATAGAAAATCGCTGAGTGATTCCAGCATAGAATGGGATACCCCTTCCTTTCCCGTTGGTGTCGTAAGAGGCGACTAAGAGCATTTAATGGTCGAGGGATGGACAGCAGCGTTCCTCTTAAAACATCACCAAAGCCTAATTGCGGTTGCCAACCTGCTTGCCAAACCTGGCAACTACTGCCAAATCTCCTGGGGAAGGCCAATATTCGACAGTGAACAGTTAACGGCTGATATGGTGGTGATGATAGAAAATCCTACTAGCAAGGTGTTTGAACTATTTTATCTCTTTAAAAATCTAGGAAAGTATGAGCTTTGTTTATTTATTGATTTATCACATCCTCTTGTCACAGTCATGCCCAGCTGATTCCGTTTTCTTGAAAATAGGTAATGCAGATATTAAAGCGTGTATCAATAATGCATCTCTCGACATGTTTGGATGTTCATACGATGCACTTTAGTTGTTAATTTAGATTCAGGTAATGTTGGTGAATAAATATTTACGACGTTTACCACGATATTGCACGACAACATACACTTTAAACTGTGGGAGTCGGCAAACTGGATATCAATCAATAAAGTTTTTTAGTGCATAGTTAGATTGAACATGTATTGCGGAGACCAGACAATTAATCCTTGCAAGGTCTTAAGGAATATGCGAACGGTAACAGTAGGTCTTACTAATCTGGAACAGCACAGCATGTCTTCACGAAACACTTCATAATAGAGAAACGATGTCATTCTAACATGTTGTTTTCGTAAAACTGGCTCACTAATTTAATTTATATTTGTAATCACCGTGTCTTGGTAATCCCTTATGGACTCCCGCGATACAGGTTCGCCTAGTGCGGGCTCCAATGTACTCGCTGTTGTAAATTTCTTGTATTTAATAAATAAATAAATAGATGCAATCATTTGAGAAAGAGTTGCGTTTGTCTCAGCTAGAATGTTTTGGAACTTATTACAATGTCATCACAAATGGAACTACCCTCAAAAGTATGCCCCTGATGAGGAATGACTGAAAAAGTCTACATCTTAAAATATACTTAGAATTTAAAGTGAACTGTTGTTTATTCTAGATTCTAAGTATTAGTATAGGGAGGAAAGGGATTGTTAGTGATAGAGACTGAAAATCTCATTGCTAGCAATATACCCAACCAGGTTGACCTCCTCGCGGTTCCCCCTGGAAACTATCATGGTTAATTCCTGATGAATTCATCATAATGGGCTAACTGGCCTGTTTTCATTCTTATCGATCACCCTTCACTGGTGCTCCGCCGGGGTATCTCGTTAGCGCAGGGTTACCATACCATTTTCACCCATCAAAAAAAAAAGTATTAGTATAAGTGTTATCAAAGTTTAAACGATTTAATAATTCATTTAAAGTTTTAAGCGAGTTTAAGTAATAAGTATTTTTTTTATTTTATTCTCTATTTTATACGGGCGATTATTATTGTCTGGTTTATGTAAGATAATTTGTATATAAGTTCCGTGCATTATTGAAATATTTTCCTTGTTTACATGTTTTAGATGAACAGTTCAATAATGTCAAGGAAGTTCAACGGAGCGTAGTAAACTATCTTTACAATGTCGATGAAAAGGAAACATAAGAGAATATTTAAGTCATTAATTATATTAAAGATTAAATCAAGGCTTTAAAATTACAGACGGCGATTGAAAACTTCCCCACAGCAAAAACTAAGAGGAAAAATATTAAAATAATACTTACGCCCTCTTACGAAGCACAAAGTCGACACAGACGCAAATATAATTAAAATAAACTTCATTTTGTATATAATTTTATCACACATTAATACACAACACGTTATTTTGTTTTTTTCTTTTTATTTTTCTTTCATATATCGTCCATCAGACGTCCGGCACGTACGGACGCCGGCAGCGTTCTGTGTTTGTTTGAATATAGTTTTTCTTATAATGGACGCGTCTCTTCGTTATTTTGCGTACGACTACAGTGTTTTTATAGGACAGTTTGTTTTAATTCTTATCTCTTAGTCGTTATTGGTGAATTTTCAATAACAAGTATAAACATTTGCGGCTAACCGGTATTTCAAGTGACTTCACCTGATTCTCGGAATGGCCAGTATGACCTGTGCGTGGTGTTCTTTTTTAGCTAGGTCTAGGGTTGTCACCATACTATAATATTTTATTTAAGTCCCAATACTCGGCATGGGTCTTTCTCATTAATAGGAGAGTATAGTTGTCTAGGCGGCTCGGTATGTGGTTTAATTTTAAATTTTTCTTTTCTAGCACCAATATTTGGTGTTTTGTTCCTTTAATCGGCTCTTACGACATTCCGGGAACGAAAAGACACTTGTGTTCTTACTCTATCGACACATATATAATACCTATTTGTTACCATTATTTTTATTTTTGTTTTATTTTTTTATAATGACCATTTTTTTTTCCATTATAACAGGCTTACCAAATATATAATTATTCTAAAAGAAAAATATTTGACAAGTTTTTTTGCGACTATATTACACGATTACGTCGCAGTTCAGATATATAGGGCAATTTCACAATTCTTTTTTGCAATCGACAGCGTTTACTCCGGCGTTGGTTCCATATTATTTCTAATTTCGAGTCAATTTCAATAAATATTCTCGAAATCGACAGAGTTTACTCCTGTTTTGATCCCATATTAATTTTCTGACTATTAAAGATATCTTTTTGCTTCTTACGAAGCAGAGTCTACTTCTGAACACGCGATTCCGCGTTCTAAATTAAAATATTTTTGTATATATTCTCGATTAAGGTAATCTTTTTTTGCTAAGCAATATTTATTCGTACTTCGATTAATTCATAAATAAGATATGACAACATTGGCAACCCTAATAGCGTTTGTTGATATTGTAGTTATGCATTTAAGATAATAATATCTATAAAGTATGTGTATAAATTTATCTTCACAATAAGGTCCACTACGGGGTAGGCAGAGAAATGTGGAGCGTTATAATTTAAGATTTTGTACCACAAAAAACACCGACTTCAATAGTGGTAAAGTTATTTTGATTTAAAATGGAAACACCTGTACCGAATTTGATAAAGTTTTTTTGGGGCCAATCCGAAAGTGTATCCTTTTAGACAAAAAAAAACATTTTCCCAAATCGTTTGCCATGCCATTTTTACCCATTAAAAAAACCCTCACTGGTATCCCACCAGTGTAAACAGTGAGCGTTCATTAAATAGTGACCACTCTATTACCAGCCATAAAAATACATACATATATAAAAAATATACGTATCACAGACATGGTGTCATTCCTTCTTAAGCTTACTGCATTTTCCTTTTTATATATTTCTTTTTTTTTTCTCTTTTCATGTATGTCTGTATATATTTGTTGTTATTTGTATGCAAGTAAATTATCTATCTGTCTAATAAATTAGTGTTTCATCTAAACAATATAATTATAATCAAATAACCAGTTAGAAATTTTTTTGATGTTATTATATAATTAATTATGTTTAGCAATTTGCGTTGTTGACTGTACTTCTTAAAGAAACAATACAAGTACTAATTATTTAATGACGTTCTTCTACTGACAATCAGGACTACAGGATTTACCATAATAGTGATATTAAAATGTCATGCGTCATCATTTATAAGAAATTAATCACACGAGTATATCCATGACAATGGGATCTTGCGGTAGGAGTTTCTCAGTTCGTTTGATTTTTTTACGACTTCGTTATGCGATCATGTTATCGATAGTTATTTATTTTATATATTTAGACTTTTATTTATATATTTTTATTTTATTTATTTCAATTTTTATTTATTTTATTTTGTTTCTTGCCCGTTCTTCTCAGTTGTAATTGCATTCCGAATTGGGCAGTAGATTCATAAAAAAATTACTGTTCAAAAATGCTCATTTTTAAGTTTACTTGAATAAAAATTAGTTTTATTATTATTTATTCATTAGTACATGTATGTGTACATGGCGGACTTAATGCTAAAAGCATTCTCTCCCAGTCAACCATAGGGAGGTGTCAGAATACTCGAATGCGGTACTAGTAATAATTTACAATTAAATATTGTTGGTTTCGTATTAATTTTATGTGGATTTTTATTTACGGAGAAGCAAAACTTCTTGTTACAAAGTAAGAGGTACCATTTTACGTTCTGTAATCGTAGTTAAATATTTTCTGTTGAGGTTTATTCAAGAAACTACAGCATGGGGTTCTTCAAAAAAGGAGTAAAGAGTAATGCCCTTAGTATTTCAGGCGTTCATAGGCTGCGTTTACTGCTTACCATCAGGTAGGCCGTATGCTTGTTTGCCACCTCAGTGGTATAAAAAAATTCAATATAATATGATGCGGAAATAACATCCCATTATTTATAATAAAAGTACCTTACTTTTTTCTGCAGAGCAAAATGTTGGAGTTTAAAAAAAAAATGTTTTTGCAACTATTACAGTTTACTCTCGTTTGAAGCTATGTATTTTTGTAAAATATATATTGTTATTGTAACCTGAATGATGTTGTTACAGGAGCGACAAAAGAGATCGGCACAGCGCTCACGAGGGTGTGTCTTCGGCATCGAGCTATTGAGACCAGGATGAAGACGTTCATAAGGTAAAGTTTGGCAACTAAACTTACCACACGTAACTTACTGCTTCATGTTTATTCATATCTGCAGAGTGAAGTCCAAGTTGTTTCATTCATCATCATCTTAGCCAATATAAGTCCACTGCTGAACATAGCCCTCCTTCATAGAGTACCATAAGGAACGGTTGTGACCCACTTGCATCCACTGAAATTGTTTGTTATGTGTAAAATTAAAAATCTACTCAACCTGTACAAGAGGCCAGACGTTTGGTGAATCAAAAATTAATTTTTCGACCCATTTCATCTTTGGTGAAAGTCAAGCTTCGCGGCTAGAGCTCTCCTTTTTTAGTTATTTTTTAACCCCTGTGTGGATGTTGTCGTATAAAATAAAGTTTAATTGTTTCTTCTTCCTTTCTTCAAAGATTGCCAATGATTTCGTTTTCACCCTAACGGTTACCACTTTCCATCAGGTCGGCCGTCGGCGGATTAATTGCCCTTCCAAGTTGCATATAAAATATAAATACAGCTTGACATTCAATTATTCTTGTTAATACCGTCTTCGGAAGAAAATAATTCGTATTTTTTCCTCTTCCGATAATTAATAATTTAAACCTTTATTGACTGTATAAATAAAGTGGGAAGCCTATGTTTGGCAGTGAGCAATGAAGAGGAAAGAATGAATGGAAAAATGGTATTACCTTTTAAATAGCTGAGGCTTAATATTTATTATCATTTAATTTTTTTTTTTCATGAAACTTAGATTGTCAAACTAGCTGACGGCCCATCCTCTTTTTTGCTTTTAAATTTCATAAAATATGTTCTCAATACGGTTGTACTTTTTTTTATGTTTATTTATGTTTTTTTATATCAGTTGTAAAGCGATTTGGAAAATTCTGATTTGTAAAAAAAAAATATCTAAAAGGATATGCATACAGATTAGTTTCATAGAAAGTTTATCAAAATCGCTTCAAATGTTTAGTTTTTAAATCAAAATTACTGGTTTTACCACAATTGAAGTCGGTTTTTTTTTAGAGCACGGGCTTAATTATTTTACTCGTATGAGACGCCTTTTATTAGCACTAAATTCAATTTGGCGACCTACGAGCTTGGGACCTGGATATCACATTAGGAAAATAAAATGTTTATTACTAAGGATCAAATGGTTTATGTAGTTCTTGCTTCGGGACTTAATACAAATTTAGCTTTGACGTATCGTCGTTGATACGTCAATTCCTCATTAGTTCAAGGGACTTCACAAGAGAACTTTAATACTATATTCTTATTCAATTCATCATATTTCAGAATGAGGGGACTTCTCGTATAGAATTAAATACAATGTTCCTGTGGTTCTAGTAATCAATTAGTCATACTATTTCAAGGGACTTTTCAGGTGGTCCAAAGACAGTATTCCTTTTAATCGACTTCAAATAAAAAAAAGTTCATAATTCGACTCTAATTTTCTGATTATTTCACGCGATGTCGTTACCAATCGGTTCAATGAAAGTTTTGAAATCGATATGGTTCATCATCTAAGTTTTCATATATCAACTCTAATACTTGCCATATGTTCCCGAAATAGATTTGGTCACCCCCCCCTTCTTTGCCAGTGGGTGTTTGAAGAGGCGACTAAGCGAGGGCGAGGGATGCGCAGCAGCATCCCTCTTGAAACATCGCCTATAAACTAACTGTGGTTGCAAATCTGGCTGCCCAGCGTGGCAACTGTTGGCAAAACCCCCGCTTATTGTGAAGGCCTATGTTTAACAGAGAACAATTAATAGCTGATTTGATGATGATAACGATGATGAAGTCTAATACTAGTTAGTGGTAAGGTCTTATGACTTATGTTTGTTTTGTTTTGGATGGACGCTAAGATAGTCGGCGCAATATTTGAACCAAATATCCCTAGTACTTAGAAGTGACAACGTTAGAGCTTTGCTATGGCTTTTGATTTTCTCCCCCTGCTTCTTTAAGAATTCTGAAAATTCCATATTTCATATATCAGGAATTCACGTGTCGTTTACAGCGCTTTAATGGATACGCTGATTACTCCGCTATCGGAGCGGGCGGACGACTGGCGCCGGGGTGGCTGCGCGACCGGTGCCCTTAGTCGGGAACACGCTCGCGAGTGTAAACGAGCGCGGGCAGAACTCAGACGGAGGGTTCAAGAGGCACAACGGCATGCCAGGAAAGCGCGTCGTGCTCAACCAGACGCGAAACGACGGGCTGATGTCTGTATGCAGGTGAGATATATGTCCATCGCTGTACCAGAAGGAGATTTGGAGTACTGAGTCGTTTGAATTATAATGTACTAAAAGAATATTGCGTAGTGTTCTGTATATAGCCTTCTGGATACTTCGATTTCTTCTATGAATTCTGCCGGCAAAAAGTTTGCTTGCATGCTGTTATTTGATTTAGCCAGATGCCGGCTGGCTAGAATACCAGAGAAGGATGATAGGTGAGGATAAATTTAAGTTAATGGCCTTGTCATAATGTATGTATTTAGTATTCCCCACGGCTTCGTCCGTGTGTTTCAGTATACGAAGCATTCTATGTGCTAAGTTAATATCGTGTACCAAATTTTATTCAAATCCGTTCAGTAGTTTTCCATCCAAGCATCCTTCCGTCCTTACAAAAACATGCATTTATAATATAACAAGCATTATACGACTATATTTTTTAATTTATCAGTATAGGTTTCATAATTCAGAATAACGATTTGATAAGGTGCTCGCATACAAGGTTAACAACGAACCTGCTAATCCTTATCGCCAATTCTCTCCCCGGTTCTTTCATTATTTGAAACCAGAGCTTATCTGGTACACATGTGCTATCACATACGGATAAAATGCAACTTACCTAATACTGAATACTTGATAACTTACAAATAGTAGTAATGATAACAAACCATATGATAATAGTTAAGTCTCTATGTCCAGGATGTCCAGGAACGCAAACAACAGTTGGAAGAAATGGAAGAGAAGGCGGTTAAAGCCGCTCTTATTGAGGAGAGGAGCCGCTTCTGCCACTTCGTATCGTTACTCAATCCCGTTGTGGTAAATATATTTACCTATTTCTTCAGGTAGTTTAAAGATTGGCATAAAGAACGGACTTCCGAAGGCCTCTATGTTTAGGCATAACTTTCATTTACTAACTTTGTAATAAACGCTTAGTTGAAAATGAAGTTTTGCATCGGTAAGGTGAAGTTAGTTATTAAAAGAGTTTACTACAATTCTAAAGTGATTTGAAGATATTGCGAACTTTTATAGCGAAAGGTAGGTCTTAAGTACAAAAACAAGATGCACAGGAATCATTTTATCTTTTTTTTTTTTTTTAAATCCGTGGAGTTTAAATTTATTGAGTGTTTGAAAATTTTACAGTTTTTGCCAATTGAACCTTGGTGTTGTTTGCATCTATAGGATATGAGTCCCTTTGTGGGCTATCTGATTCTTTGCCCATCCAGTGAAGAATTTTCCCGTGAAATGTTCTCTTCTAGAAAAAAATTTCTTTAAAGGTCACGCATTAGAGACTGTTGTTGATGTTGATGTTTATGGGCAAATGGGTAGCTCGTTTAACTCTCCTGTTTCGTGAAATCCTTTTATGCTTAGTTATATAGGTAATTTTGTAAAATACCTTACGTTTGATAATAAGGTAATTGTGTTCGGTCGCTTATAGGAGAGTGAAGTAGCAATGCTAGCGGAGGTCGGCCACCTGCAGGAAGGCAGCGAGCAGCTCGTACGCCACACGGCGGAGCCTAGAACTTTACCAGCGGCCAGCTTACAGGTACAAAATTTGAACCACTATCGTTAAATTCTTTCATTAAATTAGGTACCAACTCCTTAAAAATTTTAAATTCTAACGGGAGCTTTTCTAAAAAAAAAAATTAATTAGACAATGTATGTATTTGTTTATTAGACACCAATGGCGTTACAGTAGTTAATTAAAATCTTAACGCTAATATCAGGTTTCTTTATATATTTATTATTTATATTCTCTTAAATATACAAAATAGATGTCAATCGAGAGTGTCAAATGTCTCAATTCCAATATCGATCTATTATAATTTATTTCAAGAGTAACCGCACAGGAAGAGGAAAATACGTGTACTTGTTCGTTGCAAGTCGAGTACAACCCAATATCCTCCTTTTATAATGATGAGTGGCAATTCGGTTGTTGATCTTATTAAAAAAAAACATGTTTTGAACTTCGCAACATTAATAAATCATACAAACCAGGAAAAAGTTTTAAACAAATAAACGATTATGTCATATTCATTACTGAACATCAAGTGATGAGCAACTGGCATAGCAAATCATGGGGCTTGTCTTTGGTGTAAAATCTGGTGCGAGGGATGGTCTAAATTAGATGGAATAGAGTCTATATGATCTCCCAAAGAGGGTTGACGTCAGGCAGGCAACTGGTCGTAAAACTAAAAGCCAAATCTTTTTGTAATATGGATAAAAATGTATTACGCCGACCCCAAATAATAATTGGGATAAGGGTAGGAAGATGATGATGAGAGTATATGATCATTTTATGCAACTCCGAATGATAAAGAGTTTTACAGTCCACCTGTTGAAACAGATATAGATATGAATAACCTACCTACCAAGAAATATTTTCCGAAACAAATGTAAAACGAAAAAGAAATGGGATCTTTGCGAGATAAAAGGATTATTATATACAAAGCTATACAAAACAGTAAATATTCTGTCGAACTTCGAGGCGCAGTGGTAAGGCGGTCGTTTTGCGTAAATGAAATCTCGGTTTCTATTCTCAGACGGACTTTAGAAAAAGAACTTTCCTTAATTGCCTTGGATTTGTATATTCCAGGTGGAGGCATACTCTTGAATCTAATACCAATGACAATTATGTACTGCACTCATAAAATAAAAATTAGGAATTAAGTTAAAATTGGGATCGGTTTGCAATACTTTGATGCAGGTTGTACTAATATGCATCTATCAGAACAGTATGGAGCCATTATGTAGTTAGTATTGCAATACGAGAATGTGAAACGTTTCAATTCCAATATTGATCTTTTGCAATTTATTTTGAGAGTAATCCTAGTGCTTCCAGATGTTTTGTTGCCTAACGTAATACGAGTACATAGGATTTTATATATAGTAAACCACGCGTGCAAAATCGCGGAGATCAGCTAATGTGTATATTCTTTATACGATTTTCACGTTGACAGTTTTTTTAAATGTTTTTACAGGTGGTATGCGATGTGAAATCCTGCTACAGTGGTTGGGTCGAGAGTGGTTCCGCGCCACACTCGCCCTCCACTTCCTCAAGACTTGGAAGCCGAAAGTCCAGCCTTACTTCTATCTCCTCACTGAATAGCCAGTGTTCAGACCAGCATGGTGAGACCTTTATTCATTTAATTTGATATTAAAATATTGTAATTTACATGTAAAATGTTGTTTTGCCAACTTCACATCATTCGCTATCGACAAGAAGTCATCATCTGCTCTAGAATCGGAATTTTCGCGTATAAAGGGCTTTGAGAAGAGTTTGTGCTTCCTGAATTGTATATATTTTCCCTACATACTAAAATATTGGATACATGCGTATGTGTCAGACCTAAACTTGCAGATATCCATAGTTTACGGTAGCCATTTATCATCAGACGGACTGTTTGTTGTTGCTTGTTTACACGACTATTATTATGAAATTTTTTTTCCATAAATTTAATGCATACCTGACTCAGTATATAATATACATACATACATATATTGCTAAATAAAGTAATTCTGATAAGCTTTATTTTAAATTTACTATAAATGCCATAACTTTTGTTTGTAGTCCTTCGTGCCGGATTTATATTTCATTAAAAATATAGTTGCACACCACACGCACTCAGTGTTATTGTTATTACTATTAAATGAATTTTTAAGTTTTTAATTCTAGTGGCAAATTTTGAATTCATAGAATTTTTAAGCGTTTCATTTCAACATAATTTAAATTTTTACTCTTTTATTTTGACAATTAAGTCAAATTTAAATTAATATAATCAGCGGTTCCTCTCTTTGGATATATTCAGTGAAAATCTAAACTTATATAAAAAACACGTTAAAGAGGAACTTTGTGCAAACTCCGTTTAATTAAAGAGGAAGTAGATCATTTTAGAATTGTTATTGTTATATTTCTTCTCTTTTTCTGTATTGTCGTGTATTTTTTCATATTAATTATTCATCTGCTCTCGTTTATTTGATGTGTTAATTTATTGTGGAAACTTCACTGATATATGTTATGACTGTATAAATTATTAATTTTTTAGCTATTATGTTTTCCTATTAAGGTTAAATAAATATAGATTTATCAAATATCATTCAAATGCAATAATACAGGCACAAGTGTAAGCGGAGGCGGAGGCAGTTGTGCGGGAATAGTTGGAGGTAGCTCGACCCCGCTGTCGAGTGCGTCTTCAGCCGGCACGCTTCCTGCTTGCGACACGCCGCTCGCCGCTTCACAGGTAAAAAAATAATAAAAAAAATTGCTTTGTACTAGTTTACAGGGTAAATGTAACACCATATGAAGAGATTATTTGTCATAGTAAGACTTTGTACGTCAGTCTGCTTGGATACCTCTGTGTTCGAATGAATAAGAATACAGCGGTAAAATAACAGAGTGCCATGGTACACTATAGTACTCAGTAATGGCAACGCATGAAGGATACTATGGATGTGACAGAGTATTTTGTTATGTCTATAGGTCATGGTTGCTATTTTCTATCCTGTCTGATATGCCACCGGCGTCTATTAAATTGATAAAATTTATTAAAAGAATTTTTTTGCATGCGTATTTTTAAATTATTATTTACATTTATTTATTTACATTTAAAGCAATTTAAATAATTTTAATGAAATTTTAATTGTAATAAAATATATTTTAGTAATGCTTGTACTTTATTTTTAGTTAAAATGTTTTATTTCTATTTACTTTGTTTTATTTTCATTTACTTAGTTTTATTTTTATTTACGTTGTTTTATTTTTAGCGTGTTTTATATTGTATTATAGTCAGTGTTCCGTTTGGCGAGCGTGTGCAGTGCCGACTCGGGTTTCCGATCACAGGACGCTTTACAACGACGTTCGCTCTACGTTGACAATGTAATTTTGGTTATTATTTTTTATTTTTTTTCTTACTTTTGTTTTATTTTTGTTTATTTTTTATTTAGTGACATATTTGTCCCTACCAATAATTTAATACGGGCTTTTTATGACCATGTAATTTTATACATAGTCATTTAAATAGATACATGTGTGCTTATATATATGTATATGTTAATAGAAATAAAAAAAAGTTGCGATTCTTGCTGGCTCTTCTCAACAGATAACAACTCACTGAACCCTGCCAGTAGATTAGAGAAATATTACGATTTAAAAGTACTTTCTATTTGAATAAATATGATTTGAATTAAAAGAAGTTACAATATTTGATTGAGTAATAAGTTTTTATATTTTACGAAAAAATTACTGACTTACTCTTGCGCTACCTACCCACTTCTGTCTATTCTCCTTTAATCAAAGGTTAGCTATTGTATTTCATTTGAAATTTCTAATTGTGATTGTATATTTTTAAGAGTTAAATAAATAATAAAGTTTATTGTTCTATAAAGGGTTCGGACAATCAGAGCGTTAGCAGCGAATGCATCACGCCGGCTAAACACATCGACGACGAACACGCGGACGACTCCCACGATGGCATCTCGAATGCTGGTGAGTTGGTAGCACTGGTTCTTTTTACGCGATAAAAATGAAACGGTAACCCCGTCTATACTATCGGGGTTTTTTTTATGGATCATAATGGAATGGTAACCCCACCCGCGCTATTGGTATACACCGGCGGGGCATCAGTAGAGGATGATAGGTGAGGATGAAGCAGGTCAGTTAGCCCATCGTGACGAATTCAACAATAATTGTTCAAGATGGTTTCCAGGGGGAACCACGTGGAGGTCGACCTAATAAGGTATATTGCTAGCAATGCAGCTTATACAACTATACTTATACAGTTTATACAACTATATAGTCATACGACTATATAGTCGCATTTATTAATTGCCTTGCTTATTTCCTATATTGTATAGTGCAAATAAAGTAAACTCATTCATTCATTCTCGAATTTTTATAGAGTTGACCGTGTAAAGTGTGCACTGTTTTTGATTATACATTACTATCATACCTACTTGTACAACAATTAGTCAATTACCCTAAGGTTGTCTCGAAAAGATTGCTCTCAGCAATAAGGCCGCCTTACTGTTCTTATACAATTGTATCGTTATATTTGCTAATTGTTTTACTTATTTCCTATATTGTATAATGCAAATAAAGTATACTTATTTATTCATTTATTTTTTATTTGTATTTCCCAGCGTCAGCGACATGGCCTGACCTGAAGGATACCGCTCAATTCGAAAGGGCGGCGTCGGCTATTATGGGAGGGCGACCACACACTATATCAGCAGGTATAAAAAAATATTTAGTTCTCATAAAAGTTCATAAACTTAATAACTTAATAAGCTATACCAGGGCTTCTTAAAGTGGGGTCCGTAGCTTGTATATCAGAGAGGTCCACAGTAGGTCAGTTAACCTTAAAAAATATTTATATAAGTAAATAAATATTATATTACAAATATTAATAATAATATATTATTATAATATATACTATATTTGGTAATAAAACTATCAATAAAAGATTTTTAATATAAAAAAAGTTTTTTTTCTTTTCCTAAATTTTTGGACCTTACTAAAATGTTTTTGATAGGGGTCCGTGGAATTGTTTAAAATGTAAAACTAGTTCGTGACTGCAAAAACTTTAAGGAACCCTGAGCTGTACGAACCATGAAGTAAATCAATGACAAATCCAATCAAAACCAATTATATAATTAATAATCATACGTACAATGGAGTACGATGTATCTCATTCGCATCGTACCCTAGACTCAAACAGCTAACAGTATTTGTTGGGTCTTAGACCCTAAATAAAACCTTAAGTAGCTAATATTTCAAATGCAATAAGAATATAATAGGAAACAACAAACCATTTAATAGAAATAGTAAGTAATAAAACCCGGAAGCACACACATAGTGTGTTTCCAGCGTAGAATGGATCACCGTTTCCTTTACCATGCGTGTCGTAAGAAGTGACTAAGGAAATTTAATGGTGCCCATCCGTTTGATGGGCAGAAGCGTCCTTATTAAAACATCACCAAAACCTAACCGCGGTTGCCAATACGCCTGCCAAGCGTGGCAACTACCGCTGAAATCTCCCCTCATAGGGCAGGCTTATGTTCAGCAGTGGACAGTTAACTGGTATGATGAGGGGGGGAAGGGATTGTTAGTGATGGAGACTGAGAATCCCATTGCTAGCAATATACCCAACCAGGTCGACCTCCTCGCGGATCCCCCTGGAAACTATCATGGTTAATTCCTGATGAATTCATCATGATGGGCTAACTGGCCTGTTTTCATTCTCACCTATCACCCTTCACTGGTGCCCCGCCAGCGTATCCCGTTAGCGCAGGCGGGGTTACCATACCATTTTCACCCATCAAAAAAACCGATATGATGATGATGATGTATTAAAGAGAATAAAGAGAATCAGCAAAGAATAATATATTTTATGTAACAATCAACAACATCTAGTTACCATAGCGACCTAAACACAGATATATAACTACAATGATTTAAGATCACTAGACGGGCCACATACTGGAAGTGCTTCCATAACATGATGATGGTGATGAATTGTATTACTCAATGTGTTTACTGCATTGACAGCGTGCGAGCGCGGCCACCCGCGAGCCGCCCTCAGCGTGCTGTCGTTCCGCGGCGACAAGCCTGACGATGAACATTCCATCTACGCACGCCCGCCGCTGCCCACAGTATGTACACACATGTTTATCCTTTCAACTATTTCCAAATCTATGAAATTAGTAGTTTTTACAGGCTTTTTACTTTTTTTTTTATACAACTTAGAATGGCAAACAAGCTGACGGCCCACCTGATGGAAAGTGGTAACCGTCGCCTATAGACATGAGCAGTACCATGGACGTAACAGAGTATACTGTTTCGCCCATGATACCCCCCATGCGTTGCCATTCCTGAGGACTCGGATGTTATTCCTCTGTACCCTGTAAATTCACGCCATATCCGACGGAGCCCCAAAGTCGAATTTTGTAGTTGTCAGGGTTATTAACGCGTATGCGGCACTCCTGGTGTAGCAGGCGTCCATAGACTACTGTAACCGTTTACCATCAGTCGGGCCGTATGCTTCTTTGCTACCATAGTAGTGTAAAAAAAACATGAAATATCGACTATTCGTTTACAGCGGTGTTCATCGTTGGAGCGGCCATCCGTGCCCGCTAAGTCGACCAACGCCAACACTGGGCAGTCGGAGTTTAAACCCACCAAGCCTTCGTCGCTGCCGCCGCATCTCACTAAAGGTTTGCTTTACGTTATACACAGTTTTACTACCTGTAAGCCGCGGCCGTATGGTCCCGGCATAGAATGGGCCACCCCTTCCTCTCCCGTGGGTGGCGTAAGAGGCGACTAACGTAGGGCGAGGGATGGGCAGCAGTCCACTGAAAACATCTTTAAAGCCAAACTATGGTTGCCAATTATACTACGAGACTACGTGGAGGTCGACCTGACGGAATATATTGCTAGCAATGGGATTGGTAGTCCGCATTGCTATCAATCCCTCCACCCCGCTTTGGAGATGTTTTAAGAGGCATACTACCACCCATATCCACGACGCTGCTTATGACACCCAGGACTACTCAGCTAATGGACTACATTGGGGGGGGGGGGGGGCTTGGTAGTAGTTGCCATCTTTGGCAGACGGGTCGGCAATCGCAATTATGCTTTTGGTGGTAACGAAATGGCCATGGTATTCTTTATTCTTGAGGATTAAGATGTTTATCTCCGTACCCTCTAATTTCATTGCCATACATTCACCCTTCACAGTCGCTTCACGTAAGAAACATGGATGGGACAGAGGCACCCATGCAAATGACTTTTGTACATTTTTCTTTTGCGAAGGTTCGTCTTTATTTTCAAAAGATTTTTCTCAACTGATAAACTGATATCGAAAATTCTTAATTTATCTGAAAGTATATTAACTAGTAACAGATTGATCCCATAGAAACTTTATCAAAATCGGTCCAGTAATTTACTTTTTCATAATTGAAGTAGTTTGTTTTATGAAACAATATCGGATATCGGATGACGATCATTTGAATTGAATTTATAATCGTATTCGCAGACATGCCAGCGCTGTACGTGAACCTGTCCGAGCTGGCGACTTTAGCAGCGGCGCGGGCGCACCACCACGCCACCACGGCCACCACTGCTGCGGCTGCCGTTGCCGGCGACCACCCGCACCAGGAGAAGGTAACCTTACAATTTATATTTCTTTTTATACTACTTAGAATGGCAAACAATCTGACAGCCCACCTGATGGAAAGTGGTAACCGTCGCCTATAGACATGAGCAGTACCATGGACATAACAGAGTATACTGTTTCGCCCATGATACTGTGACGGTTCGCCTATAGTACAATAGGTTTAATACCATAAGTACATAGAAAAGAAACAGGGGTTCCTATGGGTGACCGCTGCGAAAGCTGAGCTATTTAATATAAACAAACTTTAAAGTCAAGGTTCACAATAGTATACAGAGAAGACGTTACCATATATGAAATATTGACACAGAAGGGAAACTCCTTTGATGTGTTTCCAAAGTGTAGTGGATGTCACAAGAAAATTAAATAAATTAAACAAAAATATATTATATTTTATATATAACCAAATTATAGTTTACCTTTTTATCATCAGGTGTAAAAAAGATACATACAACATAGTTTAATAAGGTTTATGAGAGTCTTTAAAGTTTTATAAATTCTATAATCAATTTAATAGAAAATACCAAAATACGTTAACATATAATTAAATTGAATTTAAAGAAAAGTTCAGTTCGAATAATAGGCTAAATCCGATTATTGAAATATCTACCCTTCGGTGACATAATCTATGACGTTACTAGGTGAGAAAAAAAAAAAAAAAGAGAAAAAAAGGGCGGCAAATGGCGCGGGAGTGGTGTTTTAAGGAACTGCGCAATAAAATAAGAAAGTAACTGGGATAGATCTAGGAGGGACTGGATCGATGAAGGGGTTTGAAATCTTAGTGTATCACTATCGATTAAGTGTGTGAAATTAATGAATAGAAGACTGGAGAATCCGGTGAGCTTGTTCCATTTATTACTACGTAGTTAGATTTTTGACTGTGATCGCAGGCAAAGTCTATACTTAATATTTTTCTCAACAACTATTGAAATACGTATTTGGTCGAGTCCGTATACCTTTAGGTAATGCGTATATCGTTAAATGCAATCACATTTGAACAAATTTTACATCATTATAATTTACGTACTTACGTTATTCTACTCATATACAAAATCCAATTATATGGTCGTTTGATAGAACTTCATCAATTTGATTCAATGTTCTAATTGTCCAGTTTTGAAAAATACTTATTAAATCAGCTATTAAACTATTATAATACTAACTAGTTTCATATCTAGTTATTATAAAGTATTTATTTATTGAGGATAATAGACTAAAGTGACTATGGTCTGGTCTCATTGCTAGGGAAACAACCATTGATGAGAGAGAGGGGTTGTTGAGTGACGACTCTGTAAATGCAAATGCGGTGTGGGCTACCTCCATTGTTTGGAGTGACTGTTTTATGTGTATTGTGGGGCCGTTCCTTGTGTCAGTCTGTGGGAAATTGCCTGTGTTCAGTCGTGGGTTGGTGATGGTTGAGACGATGATGATGATGAAATATTTGTATTTATTACACTATTACAGTGTTGGTTTGGAATATCTGTTCATACTTAACGCTTCATGGTGAAGTGTTTTTATACCATTACTCGGTCGACCAGATTAATGATTCTTAGTCTATATTTGATTATCCATGACTACATGTGGGGATTTGTTTTACACCAGATGTACAAAGAGACAGCTTAACTGTTGCAAGTGATATTATGTGAATGTAATACTTTTAATACATTATTAATTGTGTTACTAGATAAATTCATGTGACTGTGGGGTGTTTATGGTAAACAAGCCTGTATTGTTTAAATAGATATTTTGTCTTGATTTATTATAAACTTTAATATTGATTTTGTTGTAGTAAGCAAGCTGATAATAACAATTCTGTGTGTAATACTGATTATTAATAATATTTAATTATGCTGATATTATAGGTGTGGATGTATTTCCTAATGGTAATAAATGTACTAAAGGATTCTCTGACTATAGTTACTCTTAACTAGGTATGAGGTACAGTATAAAATTAGTATTAAATGACAAGTGTGAGTTATTAGTTATTATTTATTATATTATTTTACTCATATTTAGGAAGAAAGTTGTCATGGCGATAAGGTTTGTATGTGTGTTGTTTGTTCATGCTATATTGATTAGACAAGTTCAGACAGGGTTAATATTAGTGAAACTTTATTGGATTTATATTTAATATACATATTTTGAATATTTATGGGAATAGAATGGAGATATACAAGTAGTAAAATATAATATTAGTATTTTATAAATTTCATTATCGAGTTAGTTGTATATGTTGGCTGTATCCAAAGAGATATGAACCTATTAATATCAAGTTAGGACAATTACTTTAAATATTAATAAAGCAAACACTAACACTGATTATTCACTTCTTTAATAAATTTACATTAGAGGTTAGAAATCAAATAGATAGCATATTAGGAAAATCTTCACCACACATGTATTTGAGGAATGTTCTTGATAATTAGTACTGTATGTATATATTATTGCAAGTACAATTGCAATAAGAATGTTAAACTTCTAATCTTCTGTTCATTCTTGAATTTGAAAGTAAGCTTGGCTTACTGATATGAATATAAATTGCAGCATTACTGGATACTATTAATTATTTCTGGTGTAAACCATGATTATTTATGTCACTGATAATTTAGTTGTATATTACGGTTGATATATGATGATTTTATATTAATTATATTAAACAAATACAAATAAACAAACTTGCTAGTATTTGTTACGTTGACAGTTGTGATAGATAATCAAAATTCAATTCAATACATCAATACGTCATTCAATACGTCATTAATGTGACAGATGTCAAACAAAAGGAGATTATACACGTTATGATTCTATAGCTAAGTCTATAGAAAATTTATATAATTTTCAGTTATTTTATAATAACTGTAGGGGAAATATTGGAATATTTATATGAGAAATTTCACTTAAATGATATGATAATTATTTAAAGACCTAATTTCTTAGGGATTTAATCATGATGATTTAAACACTACTAAAACACTTGTTTATCTGAGAAATCCTCTTAGTAAATAGGTTTACTAAGACACTAAAAGGAAGTAGATATAGTATAACTATAGTACAGCTACAATAATTGTATGGGACTTACTGTCCTTTCTATACAAATATATATTTAATCTATATTTTTCACATTATAATTATGCAATATATTGCCTCTACTACTACAACATACACAAATAGGACTTATTGTCCTTCTATATATACCTATATATAATAATTGACCTGGCACTTTAATGTGTAATTTATCAGTACTTATGACAACAACCAATTAGGACTTATAGTCCTCTCTATAAAGCTACATAATTATTTAATCTGATTATTTCACAATGTGATTAATCAAACCTCTACAAATATTACAAAAGATCTCTATTACTCTCAACACAATAATAGCTTGTTGGACTTAGTGTCCTCAAACTTATAGAAAACCCAACTGGTTATTTCACGAGACGTTGTTAACTTGTGATTAATCAGTGTCTTTTAAAGGACTTATAGTTCCTTTAGATATATCTCTCTGAATAAATAATTGGTTAATTCACAATGTGGTTAATGAACAATAATATTATATATAATTGACTGGACTTATAGTTCATTCAATAGCACTCATTACTTTTAGTAGCTCTCGACCTATGGGTTGGACTACTCGTTCTTAGGCTCCGGCCTAATCAACAGATTTAACTTGAACCTTGAGTATTCTTGGTATTAAGTAAATAATATTAAATTGACAATGCTATGTTATGATATAGCAATTATCAACATTATATGGCTTGGCCAATTCCAGGGTGTGGAAGGTATCCCCTATCACACAAATCTTCATCTCTATCGGACTGTCTTCACAGGTGATCTCTAATGTCACATTATAGGGCCGAAGGGTTATGTCCCAACAAAGTAGGTTCTGGTGTCTGGGTGATCTCGCTTCTTGGTCTGATCTCTTGTGGAGCCGAAGGGAAACCCCCATTGAGTAAGCTCGTAACAGGGTGACGCTGGGAAACAGTTTCGTACTGTTAGTGGGTGATCTCTATGTCGCCATATAGGACTGAAAGGGTCATCGCCCATGAGTAAGCTCTCGTGTCGGAGTGATCCTGGGATTTCAGTTCCGATCCTTTTGCCTCTGGCAAACTCCAATTTATACTGGAAGCATCGTGGGGCTGGTGGAGCCACTGTAATGTTGAAGTAAATGTACTTATGTTTGGTTTGGAACTGAGAATACTCATGCCCTTATTACCATCAGAGTGCATTAATAAATAGTAATACCCTTCCCTACCTTTTAGGAGGAAGAGTTATAGATAGTTGGAAAGTCTTCCACTGGTCCGGGCGTGTGAGGGGCCCGACCGCTCCCCCATTTTTTTATTATTACAGTTGTTCTGTAATTTACTATTAAATTAACATAACTTCCTAGTTACATGAATTATGAGTATAATTCATTAATTATTCTTAATCCTTAAAAATTTATCAATCATCTTCATAATTTAACTCCTGTCATATACCAATTAAAGAACCTTTTGGTTATTACACACACAACGGGTCCTACATTACTAGACGATCACACATTTATTTATCTGGCCAAATGATCAAGTGTTCTACTATAAGATCTGTTTAATATTAAGTGTTTATTGTAAGGGTTTATATGATTCATAGGTTGTTTGGGGTGTATAAGATAATATAGGTATGGGGTTATATTGAGGGTGTTAGGCCATTCTTTAGGGTAGGTTTTCATTAGATTTTCATAGATTTCATTAGGAAAAGCCTTCGTAGGCTTTTCTTAGGCTTTGTAGGTTTTCCATGTGTAGGTTAGTTTAGAGGGTAGTTATTATATGAAGGGGTACAAAGGGCAGATAGGGGGGGGACCATCACAATTGGTGCCGTGACCAGGATATAATTGGTTCATGGCTATTTACATATCAGATCAATAAGAACACTTGGTCACAATTGGAGCTTGTGACTTCAGGGATTGGTTATTAAAATATGAAGGAGTATAAAGTTAAACAGTAATATCTGCTAATAGTATAACTCCAAACCAACTTTGATGATTATGACTAAA